GAAAAAAAAAAAAAAAAAAAAAAAAAAAAATTAGAAAATTGAATCTAGATAGGAGAATTTAAGCATAAGAATATTTTTACACTAAGGAACATTATAGTTTATTACAATATATTTAAGAACAAATACTATTATTATATAAATAAATATTGAAAAATATTTGGTAATTATTACAACTTTTGATCAAGGATCTTTTGTAAAATAAGAAAACCATACAACTCCCTAATAATAATAATGACTATTTACTATAAATCATTAAAAAAGCAATAAAAATGAATCAAGATAATGGCAAGGTCAGTATAAAATTCTAACTACTTTATGTTATTTTAGAACTTTAGTTAATGCATAATAAAATATAAATATTGCTACAAAATAGAAAAATTCATTATTTTAACATTTATTAAATTAATAAAGACATTGAGAAAATCTAAGAAGGTCTATACTAAAACTATTGAAACTGATAAATTAATTTAATAAGGAGATTTTGAAAAAGGAAGTATAATAAATGAGCAACCACCCAATATACTGCTAGTAACCAGTAACAAACAAAAATGAAGAATATTTTCATTAATAAAAGCTATAAAATATTAACCTATTATAATAAATTTAGTAAGAAATATACAAGACACATGAAGAAAATATAGGCTAGTTAATATATGACCTGAAACACTATTTGATTAAATGCAAGAGAAGTCACATTCCTGATGGGAACATGTGATATTAATTAAACATCAACCCTTTAAAAGCTGTATGTACAAACAATGCAATTCTGAACAGAATTTCTTTTTGGATCAGTATTACTTTTAGAATTAATATGGAAACATAAATGTGTAATTATTATGAAGAAATAATAATACCTTAAGAAAATATTGAAAAGAATACTAAGGAAGAATATGCCATATTGGGGGGCCGGCCTGGTGGCGCACTCCTACAGTGCGCCGCTTGGGAGCGTGGTGGCGCTCCCGCCGAGGGTTCGGATCCCACATACAGACCGGTTCCCGCTCACTGGCTGAGCGAGGTGTGGGAGCAACACCGAGGGTTGCGATCCCGTTGCCGGTCCCGGTCCGGTGCGGGCGCGACACTGAGGGTTGCGATCCGTTGCCGGACACGAAAAAAAAAAAAAAAAGACAAAAAAAAGGAAAAAAAAAAGAATATGCCATATTGGATTTTAAAAATGGACATTGAATTAACCACAATAGTGTGTAATTGGCAGAACAGTATCAAATAGATCATTACAAAAGAATAAAAGTTCCAGAAACAAATTCAAATATATAGGGGAACCAAAAATACGATAAATTTGGCATTTTAACTCTGTGGGGAATGGGATGGATTACATAATAAATGAAGTCATGATAATTAGATACCTGTTTGTAAAAAAGTTAAATCCCTTCCAAATAGACTCGTTACCCTAATTTTTCAGAACAGCAAAGTTCAAAGATTCTAAAAGTTTCCACGTTAAAAGAAAAGTCACCTGCCATGGAAAAAGAATTAAATCATCTAACTTTTCACCAACCATGCTAAATGTTAGAAACCAATGAAGGCTTTAAATACCTTTAAAGTTCTGACAGAAAATACTGTTCAGTCAGGCGTTCTCAGCCGAAACATGTTTGGAAACCTTAACCTCCCAGAGCCTTCCTTTTCACAATTTCATTTACCTATGTGAATAAGAATACTAATGAATCTGTGGCCTTTGCTTTTACCCTGGGCATGCCCAGGTGACTCCACTTATCACCGAGGGTATCTGCTTGATCGACCTGTGGAAGTTAAAACGTCTCATCTCTGCGGAGGGAATCTGCTGCCTCACCCTTTGACAAGCCTTTTTTCTCGTTGCACTGGGTTTAGAGACACACTTGCATTGTTCAAGTCCATTGGATTTTGTCCCCGCCCAGGCAAGGGCTAGTGGTTACTCCCCATTATAATGAAGTCTTAGTGCACTGAGGGCCAATTTCATTATGAAGCCGCACAACTGTCCATCCTCTGGGACCCCCGACTGCTGGCATCCATGGCACAGCTCTAGACCACAGGCTCTGCCCTTAGCTCATCGCCCCTCACGTGAGCTCAGCATTAGTGTGGGGCCAGGGCCATGTGGATACATGAAGTTTTCTGCTTTTGGAAGGAGGGCTGTAAGCAATGTGAGTGACACATGCTGGCCCTTGATAGGAAATAAATGAATCCCTTCAAACTGTTTCTGTTTTTCGGTGTCCTGAAATTTCTGCCACAGTGTGGGAGTCATTCCAAATTTGAGAGAGACTTTGGAAATATGTCTCAGATAAGAACAAATGTTTTTTCAGATATTCAAGTACTATAAAAGTTTTAAAAAACAGTGTGACCTCATTTTGTAATAACAGACTAATAATTTTTGATATATTGTTTACACATATTAATGATTTCAGACACTATTATAAGAGCAATGAAAACTCCTCGATGCTTTAAGTTGGTGTGCAGCATGATCAGACTTGCATTTTTGAAAGATCTCTCCTTCACTAGTGAAGCAATGAAGGTCATAGGTCACAGTGACTTAGGTTAAGGTGTTGGAAATAGGAGTGGAATCAAGAGAATACGAAGAGGTAGGATTCACAGGACTTTCTGATAAAAAATACATAGGGAGAATGAAAGAGAAGAAAGAGCCAAGAGTATCTCCAAGTTTCCAACTAGAACTGGGTAGATTGAAAAGCCGTTTTCTGGAATAGGCACACTGGAGAAGGAAGAGTATTAGGGAAATAGAAAAAACTATTAGTTCACTTTTGAACACATTTGGAACATTGGGAGGAGAGTGATTTTAGATATTAGGGACACAGACTTGGGTTTCCCTCAACCAGAATCACAGCATTCCTTCTTAGTGAACCTAGAATAGCATGAGCATAATAAGGCACATCTGGGAAATAATCCATTTGAAAGTATAAAAAGGATATTGGGGGAAGTAGGATGCCAGATAAAATACAGGATGCGCAGAATGTTTCAGACATACTTATGCTATAAAGGTATTTCTTGTTTATCTGAAATTCAAATTAAACTGGGCATCTTCTGTTTTTATTTGCTAAGTCTGGAACACTATCTGGAGGAGATCTCCATGTTCCTGTGTCCCACTTCTTATTTTCTGTCCTGTAGCTGTCTCTGTCCTGGAAGGCTCAGGGACAGGGCACTGTGGTTGTCTGGAACAGCTAGTTGCTTTGCCAAAGGCTGGACCGTGCCCCTAAAGTAGCATCCGGCAAAAGGGAAGTTGCCTCTAAATCTCCATCTTGGCTTTTGAAGACTCATCATCAGGTTTCCTCTCCTGGGTGAAAGAGAAAGCTCTTCCCCAAGTGAGAGACATTTTCCCTTTGTTCTCTTCTGCCCCACCCTGTGACAGGTCTCTTGTGTCATCTGGATGATGCATGCATCAGCAATCCTTGCCACAAGGGGGCACTGTGTGATACCAACCCCCTGAATGGACAGTATATTTGCACCTGCCCCCAGGGATACAAAGGGGCTGACTGCACAGAAGATGTGGATGAGTGTGCCTTGGGTGAGTACCCAGAGCCTTTCCTGCTTCTTGGCGTGTCTGTCTAGCTCAGCAAGTGTTTAAACTGGAGCACACTTTACTCTACAAGCATGTTACATCCAAACCTCAGATTTCTCCTGTTACATGCCCATTGTTTACAACTGACGTTTTCAGTGTAACTGTGTGTTCCATTCCGGGAATTAAATATGTGGGAGGTCTGTATTTGATTCCCAATATAAAGCCCTACCTCAGTGACAGTTTGGGCAGAAGAAGAGCAGAGATGCAGAAGAGTTGAGATTACCCTAGTCATCAAAATTGAGAGTGAGATGATAAAAGGCCCGGCCCTGATGTGTAACAATCGTACCCTCATGTGTAGTCCACATTTGAAAAAACTCTGTCCAGTGCTTTGATTCCAGTAATTGGCGCTTGTGTCTTCCAGCCAATAGCAATCCTTGTGAGCATGCAGGAAAATGTGTGAACACAGTTGGCGCCTTCCACTGCGAGTGTCTGAAGGGCTATACAGGGCCTCGTTGCGAAATGGACATCAACGAGTGCCATTCAGACCCCTGCCAGAACGATGCCACCTGTCTGGATAAGATTGGAGGCTTCACGTGTCTGTGCATGCCAGGTAACTGGGCCCATCAGTGCCTGGGGTCTAGAGAGGAGGGCTGAGCTGCAGTTCTCTCAGTGGAGCACTCAGGGCACATAACAATACCATGAGCTCTGTCAGCTCACTTCCCCACACTGGGGACTGTGGGGACTGTGGGGTGTCAGGGGTCCCAGGCAAGCCTCTTACTTACAGAGTAAGGTGATGCTAGGATCCTTAGAAATATGCAGTCCAAATTAAACAAGCTCATTACATCCAAATCCACATACAGGTAATAGAAAACTTCAGAAGCAATTTACCGTAAGAATTCTTTAAATAAGAAGCTTTCCTGGTCCCCTCATATATTACAAATACCATACCATTCCGTTTGTAGGAAGAAATTTTACCCACAATTATAAGGGACTTGCCATTTATCCAAAATGAGGCACATGGATTCTGGGGCTCTTCTGCAGAACACAGCCAAATCCAGCTTGCAGCGACAGATGATTAAGACAACTGGCTGCTCTGCCTGATTAAGAGTGCCAGCTGCTCTAGCCCTGAAATACCCTCCTGACCTAGACCTGCACACTGAGAGCAACAGCAGCTCCAGCTTAGCTGGTCATTAGGAACACAGAGTGCAAAGATGGGGCCTGCCACTGTCCAGAAAGTATGGATTGGTCGCAGAAATGTGGAACAGTCATTGTGAGCATGCTGGGTCTTCTTACCAGTGTCTTTGGAGGTTATACTTCCGCTCCTTCCCCTCTTCACAGTGACATGCGTATCTGACAGCACCCCCTATCCAGCTGATGCTTAGAGTGACTGTGTCCTATCATGGCAGCATCCTTTTTCTCTTTGCAGAAATGTTCATGCTTATAGAACATGCGGCCATCTTTGTAAATTTGTGCTTTCTTGGCTGGAATACGCCTTTCTCTCTTTCTAAGGCACTTGTGTGGTCCGTTTTGTTCAGGTTTCAAAGGTGTGCATTGTGAACTGGAGATAAACGAATGTCAGAGCAACCCTTGTGTGAACAATGGACAGTGTGTGGATAAAGTCAATCGCTTCCAGTGTCTGTGTCCACCTGGTAAGTGCCCCCAGCTGCCCCTGTTTTCTGTTAGAGCACGAAGCCGACTGACCACATGGAGGGAGCAGGGAGAGAATGTGTGTGGGCTGTGCATGAGGAAATAATTAAAGTGAGTACTTGGTGATAGGAGTGTGTGTGTACAGAAATGGGGAATTTGTTTTAGCTAGTGTATCTTCCAAATCCTCTGTGGCCAGAAATCCAAGTCTCTTCTTGAATGGCCCATGACCCCTCTGTCTGTGTATATATTTGAGAATGCTCATACCTCACAGAAGCCTTAGTTGTAGGCTATTTAGGACTTTATTTTTTTCCCCATGGGTCATATTCTTGAAGGCCTCTGTGAGTTATTATTTTTAGACATTTCATCCTGTGAGTCCAGAAACAGACAACACATGTCAATTTTTCCAAGATCCTCTTTCTCTCCTTTCCCCCGCAAGCTATTGTTGAAGACATGCCAAAGTGTCTGCCATAGACTGCAGCCTCTGCCCTTGTTTCTTAAGGGGGAAGGTCCCCGTTGCCTCTGAAAGTACCGTTACTTGTTTGAGGGCTCCTTCTATAACATTTCAGTCCTCCTTGCTGCATCTAGAAGTGAAATCTGTGCTGTGAAGAAACAGTGATGGAGACACAGCACAAGTGCCTCTGATGCCTTCAGCTTCATCCAGTTATTTCAGTTGCTTGTTGGGAGAAATAATCCTGTTTGCTGACCCACGGATATAAGACCAGGGCAGCTACATGTGTGAGTGTCCTCCAGGCTTCAGTGGTATGGACTGTGAGGAGGACATTGACGACTGCCTTGCCAGTGAGTATGCCAGCAGCTTCTATACCCATGAGTGAGAGGAAAGCACACGGGGAGCAGAGGGAGCCTAGAGGAGGCTGCTGCCTCTCACGCTGACACTGGCCACACCAGTCATGTACTGATGATGTTTCACAGTAGTGTTTCTGAGTCTTCCTTTTGAAGCTAGTGTCTTTAGGAGTTGAGGCAATGGAATCTCTTTTAAGCATTCCCCTTAATTTTTGAACACTGACTAATTGGGGACAATGCTATGGTAGCTTTTTTTAATACAGGTTTTTCGAAGAACAATTAATATGCAATAAACTGCAAGTGGTTAACATAAAAATTTGATGTTTTGACATACCCTTGTGAAAGAATCACTGAAGATAATGAACACAAATCCTCATATCCTAAAAATATCCTCATCTCTTTTTTAATAACATCTTCTCTCCCACCACCCAGTCCCCAGGCAACCATGGATCTATCTACTCTATCATTATTCATTGTTTTGTTTTGTTTTTTTACACCTTTATATAAATAGAATCATACAATAAATACTCTTTGTGTGTATCTGATTTGATTCTTTTTTAAAAAAATTGACTATACATATTCACAGGAAAAGAACTGAACGTCAGCACCTGTGCTCAAGATGTGGTGAGCAAATCAATGCTATCAGCATGCCCACCACCTCAAATTGCAGTTAGTCCCCATGTCCCCCACTCAACCTTTCCTCAGTGCCCCTTTTCCTCCCCACCCCACCCCCTGCCCTGCAACCCTAGGTCTGTTCTCTTCCTCTGCAGGTTCAACCTGCCACTATGGTCTTTCTTTCCTTCCTTCATTCTCTCTTAGCTCCCACTTATAAGTGAGGACATGCAGTATTTTTCCCTCTGTACCAGGCTTATGACACTTAACATAATTTTCTCCAAACTCATCCACATTGCTGCAAATGGCAGAATTTCATCCTTTTTTATGGCTGAGTAGTATTCCATTGTGTGTATATATACCACATTCTTCTTATCCAGTCATCTGTCAATGGACAGTTAGATTGGTTCCATATCTTGGCTATTTTAAATAGAGCTGTGATAAACATGGGAGTGCAGGTATTCCTTCAACATGATGATTTCCATTCATTTGGGTATATACCCAGTAGTGGGATTGCTGGATTATATGGTAGTTCTATCTGTAATTGTTTGAGAAACCTCCATAGTGTTGTCCATAGTGGATGTACTAATTTACAGCCACTGACAGTATAAAAGAGTTCCATTTTCTCCATATCCTTGCCAGCATTTGTTTTTTTTTTTTTTTTTTTTGTCTTTTTGTCTTTTTCCATGTCCGGCAACGGATCGCAACCCTCAGTGTTGCCCCCATACCGGACCGGGGACCAGCAACGGGATCGTAACCCTTGGCGCTGCCCCCGCGCCTCGCTCAGCCAGTGAGCGGGAACCAGTCTGTATGTGGGATCCGAACCCTCGGGCGGGAGTGCCACCGCACTTCCCAAGTGGCGCACTTATCCAGTGCGCCACCGGGCCGGCCCAGCATTTGTTATTCTTAATCTTTTTGATAGTAGCCTGTCTAACTGGGGTGAGATAATATCTCAATGTAGTTTTGATTTGCATTTCTCTGATGATTACTGATGTTGAGCATTTTTTGATGTGTCTGTTGGCCATTTGTATATCTTCCTTTGAAAAAATGTCTGTTCAGATCCTTTGCCTATTTTTTAATTGGAGTATTTGTTTTTCTTACTATGTAGATGTTTGAGTTACTTGTATATTCTGGAAATTAATCCTTGTCAGATGTATAGTTTGCAAATATTTTCTCCCATTTTGTAGGTTGTATTTTCACTCTTGATTATTTCCTTTGCTGTTCAGAAGTTTTTTATTTTGATATAATCCCATTATTTATTTGTCTTTTGTTGTTTGTGCTTTTGAGGTCTTGTTCATAAAGTCTTTGCCTAGTCCTATTTCTTGAAGTGCTTCCTCTTTGTTTTCCTTTAGTAATTTTATGGTTTCAGGTCTTCTATTTAAGTCCTTAATCCATTTTGAGTTATTTTTGGTATATGGTGAGAGGTACAGATCCAGTTTCATTTTTCTGCATATGGATGTCAAGTTTTCCCAGAACCATTTATTGAAGAGGCAGTCTTTTCCCCAGTGTATGTTCTTTCTGCCTCTGTCCAAGATCAGTTGGCTGTAAGTATGTGGGTTGATTCCCGGGTTTTCTATTCTGTTCCATTGATCAAGTGTCTGTTTTTATGCCAGTACTATGCTGTTTTGGTTACAATAGCTTTGTAATATAATTTGAATTCAAGTAGTGTTATGCCTCTGGCTTTAATTATTTATTTATTTTGCTTAGGATTGCTTTTGCTAATCGGGGGTTTTTTGTTGTTCCATGTGAATGTTTGGATTGCTTTTTCTATTACTGTGAAGAATGTTATTGGTATTTAGATGGGGATTGCATTGAATCTGTAGACTGCTTTGGGTTGAATGGACATTTTCACAATGTTAATTCTTCCCATCTAAGAGCATGGTATGTCTTTCCACCTTTTTGTATCCTGTTTAATTTCTTGCAGTAGTGTTTTGTAATTCTCATTATAGAGATCTTTTACCTCCTTGGTTAAATTGATACTGAGGTGTTTTTTTTTTTTTTTTTTTTTTTTTTTTGTGACTGTTGTAAATGGACTTGCTTTCTTGATTTCATTTGTTGCTAGTTTGTTATTGGAATATCAAAGTGTTCTTGATTTGGGGGTGTTGATTTTGTATCCTGAAACATTAGGGAAATTGTTAATCAGCTGAAGAGTTTCTAGTAGAGTCTATAGATTTTTCTATATATAAGATCATGTCATCAGCAAACAAAGACAGTGTGACTTCATCCTCTCCAATCTGGATGCCCTTTATTTCTTTCTTTTGCCTAACTGCTCTGGCTAGTACTTCCAATACTATATTAAATAGGAGTGGTGAGTGTAGGAATCCTTGTCTTGTCCTTGTTCTTAATCAGGATGATGTTGGCAATTGGTTTGTCATAAATGACTTTTATTGAATTAAGGCAATTTCCTTCTGTACCTAATTTGCTGAGAGTCTTAATGAAGAAGAGATGTTGAATTTTGTCGAATACCTTTTCTGCGTCAACTGAGATAATCATATGGTTTTTGTCCTTGGTTTTGTTGATGTGGTGTATCACATTTATTAACTTGCTTATGTTGAACCAACCTTGCAAACCTAGGATGAATCCCACTTGATCATGGTGTATAATTTTTTTGATGAGTTGCTGTAATCTGATTGCTAGTATTTTGTTGAGGATTTTTGCATCTATGTTCATCAAAGATATTGGCTGGTAGATTTCTTTTTTTGTTGTATCTTTATCTGCTTTAGGTATCAGGGTAATGCTGGCTTCATAGAAAGAGTTTGGGAGAATGGCTTCTGTTTCAGTTTTTGGAAAAGTTTGAAGAGAAGTGGTATTAATTCTTCTTTAAAGGTTTGATAGAATTCAGCAGATAATCCATCCAGTCCTGGGCTTTTCTTTGTTGGAAAATATTTTACTACTGCTTCAATCTCATTGCTTGTTATTGGTCTATTCAGGTTTTCTATGTCTCTCATTGCTTGTTATTGGTCTATTCAGGTTTTCCATGTCTTTTTGGTTCAGTCTTGGTAGTTTGTATGTGTCCAGAAATTTATCCATTTCCTCCATGTTTTCATATTTGTTGGGGCACAGTTGTTTATAATAATCTCTGATTCTTTGTATTTCTGTGGTATTTGTTGTAATGTCTCTCTTTTCATTTCTGTTTTTTGTTATTTGGACCTTCTCTCTTCTTTTTTGTTTTTGTTTTTGTTTTTGTTTTTGTTCTGTTAACCTAGCTAATGGTTTGTCTATTTTATTTACCTTCTCAAAAAAACTACTTTTTATTTCATTGATCTTTTGTATTGTTTTTTGGGTCTCTATTTCATTTAGTTCTGCCCTGATCTTGATTATGTCTTTCAATCTACCGCTTTCGGTATTGGACTGTTGTTGTTTTTCTAGTTCTTTGAAGCGTAGTGTTAGGTAATTTATTTGAAATCTTTCCATTCTTTTGATGTAAGCATTTATTGCAATAAACTTCTGTCTTAGTACTGCTTTTGCAGTATCCCAAAGGTTTTGGTACGATGCATCTTTATTTTCATTAGCTTCAAGAAATTTTTGATTTCCTGTTTAATTTCTTCTTGGACCCATAGCTCATTCAGGAGTCTGTTGTTCAGTTTCC